CCCCGGCGGCCGGCGCCGCCGACCGGCTGCAGCTGCTGGCCTTCGTGCTGTCCGACCAGGCCTTCGGCGAGCTGCTGGGGCTGGAGCTGCTGCCTCTGCAGAGCGGGGGCTTCGTGCCCTTCTCCTCTTCGGTCGCCGAGCAGGACATGGTCTACATTCCCTCCGAGGAGTTCCCCAGGTACCGCCCCCCCCCTGTCCCAGCTGACCCCTCCCCGGGAACGAGGCCATTCCCACTCATAGCGACCCTGGAGGACAGGTAGAAGCGTCCGTGGTATAGTGGGTGACACAGCCGGCGGAGAGGCGGGGGCTATCTGTTGGCTCCCGTCAAGAGCGACAGGGTGGGATCCACTTGATGGCAGGGATTGTGAGTTTGAGGACAGGGTAGAACTGACCCTGCAGGTTTCCCAGGCTGGAGGTTTTTAGGGGAGCAGACAGCTGGTGGGGTTGAAACCCCCATTGGCCTTGTGGTTACCGGCTCAACTGGTGTAGACAGTGTAGACAGCGTTTGGAAGGATGTTGCAGAAATGTTAGCGTATTTTATTTGTGGAAGTATTCACGGAGGTGGGCTTTATTCTTTTTAAATTCTGATGTGAAAAAGCATCCAGAGGTTTTCTGGGTTAAGGGGAAAAAACAAAAACAAAACTCATCTTCCAGGCAGTTGTGTTTCTTAGCAGCTGTCGTGACAGAACAGTGGAAACCGTCGTTATGAAGTGCTGATCACAACTGGGCAAGTCCACCCTGATGTGTTCACAGTGATTGGCTCATCACTGCTTATTTAGTGAATTCATAGTTCGTTAGTTATTAATCCTTTTAGGTTGTGAACATGAGTTCATGACGACTTACTTTGATGGCATGGACCTCATGCTCCCGAAAGACGTCGTTTCTGTGTGACTCTGCAGGGCGCGCGTGACACCTCAGAGGACGGAACCGGTTTGATTCCCGGGTGTTTAGGACGCTGCTGAATTTGGATACCCTGTCTGGCGTCCTCACGTTTTAAAGTAAAGCTTACCATCTGATCAAACGTGATTGCCATTTGGTGGGCTGCTGCCTTCCTTACCCCTGCCTCACAGAGCAGGGGCTGTTCGCTTGTTGGGAAGTCGGAGTTGATCAGAAAATTATAATGATATTGCCGTGTTTCCTTTCACCTATTAGGTCCCTTTTCCCAGGTTTCGAAGGAAGATTTCTTCTGGATAACTTGAAGCCTCACATTCTAGCTGCTTTAAAGGAAGCTGCCCAAACCAGAGGTATGACGGGTTCCTAGTGATTTTATTTCAAACAACACCAAATACGATGATTTAAAAAAAAATCGAAACGCTGCGAAGGTGAACTGATTAAAAAAAAAATGCCAATGCATGTCTGTTTGAGGCCTGTGAAATTGAAATCCACAGTTGCATGTAACTATTTAATCGTCGCACCTTAAGATGTCTCAGTGGCTGTTCTGCCACCCAAGGAGAGCAGGTGAGCATGGCACTGCGCCTGATGCACGGGTGTGCATCGATAGCGGTAGGATCTTCACACCCAGTGTCTACATGTTGCCGCTTTCCAGGTGCGCCCCCAGCATCATACCTGAAAGCCTTGGTGGTCAAGAAGGCTCCTCGCCTCAGCTCAGCCTCACAGACAGATAGGGAGGGAAGAGGGTCGGCTCTTGCCTTCAGCTGAGGAGCACCCTCTCAGGGCTGGGCCTTGTTGGCAGTATCTCTCCTCCCCACAGCCCGGGGGCCTCCACAGTTTTAGGTGCCTCTCCGGGATCTGTGCTGGATGTAATTCTCTCCAGGGACTCACAGACAAAGAGAGGAACCCCAAAGCCGTAGGAAAGAGAATTCCTTAGAACCTTCTACAGTGATGGGTGCCCTGGATGCCGAATACTTTTTAGGTGCATACAGAATAATTGGGGAGAAAAACACCATGGTTCTAAGTTCAATATTATCTTTCAGCCTTTGTGAGCATCCTCTCTCTTGTAAAAGCGGTCGCTGAGCTTGTTTTTCTGAGCAACGGGCCTGGAAGGTCCCAGGTCGTCCTGCTGTTAACGCCTGTAAAGCCTGTGGTTTGTGACGGGTGTTTTCTAGTACAGGTTGTTAGTCCTGACTTACTAGGTTCTGACGACCTGCCCTCAGTCAGTTCTGACATACGTTGAATACTTCTCTCTCTCTTCCTCTTAAGTTTTAATTTCAAATCATGTTTTGAACAGTACATCATAAATCCGAGCATCTGCATGTGAACCCCGGAGACTAGCATCAGCAGATCACACACTGCAACATTTATTTGATGAGGAACAGTCTACTACTATAGGCAAAGTATACAAAAATACCCAAGAGGAGACAAGTCTAAGCACAGTTCATCATGTCTCAAGCATGTCATAAGTCAGGGAACTGGCTGTATGTGCTTCACAAAGGTCTCCAGGGAAAATTGTTGATGTTTGTATAGCTTCCTTATTACCGTATATACTTGA